TTCTGAATTGCTGCATGTTACGTTTTTTTATTTTTTATTTTTTTTTTAAGATTTTATTTATTTGAGAGAGAGAGAATGAGAGAGAGCACAAGAGGGAAGAGGGTCAGAGGGAGAGGCAGACCCCGTGCTGAGCAGGGAGCCCGATGCGGGACTCGATCCCGGGACTCCAGGATCATGACCCGAGCTGAAGGCAGTCGCTTAACCAACTGAGCCACCCAGGTGCCCATGTTATATTTTTTTAACATTTCTATTTTTTTATCTAATAATATTTCCCAGAAATAGATACATAGGATGCTTCCAGATTTCATGATCATAAATAATGCTGTAATAAACGCATTCCTACACACGCCTGTCTGGACCCATACATGAGTGTTTCTACATCCAAGTGTATGTAGCATTTTCTGACATATTCATGATTTCTATATAATACAAGCTTTTCACACATCACCTTTGCCAAGTTACACTCTTAACAAAAACACATGGGGTTCCTTTTGTGTCATATCTTGTCAACACTTGGGATCATATAAATATATCCAGTTCTTCATTAAAATGTACAGTTAGTAGGTCACGTTAAAGAGCGCTCATGGGGCTGTGAAGCCAGGGGCTCTAAAACTAACCAAAGACTGAAGTCTGAGAGACTGGATGCCACAGTCTCTCAACAGTGCTGTTATTATCCTAAGGAGACAGGAGACATAGCCACTCATAATTATGAGAACTGACTCATAATAATCCATGATTGGTAATGTGGAAGAATAAATAAGTACCTGAAAGTTTAACCAAAAAAATACATTTAAGATCAATTCACTCTTCGAAAGATTCATAAAAGAAATAAATCCCTAAGCAGACTGACCATGACAATAAAAGAGAAACATAGGGGCACCTGGGTGGCTCAGTCATTGGGATTCTGCTTTTGGCTCAGGGCATAATCCCAGGGTCCTGGGAATGAGCCCCACATCGGGCTCCCTGTTCGGCAGGAAACCTGCTTCTCCCTCACCCACTCCCCCTGCTTGTGTTCCCTCTCTCGCTGTGTCTCTCTCTGTCAAAATAAATAAATAAATTCTTAAAAAAAGAAGAGAAACATAAACTCTCAACACAAAGAATAAAAAAAAGCACCACTAGAGACCCTACAAACATCAAAAGGATCATAAGGGGACATTAGGACAGCTTTATGCCAATAAATATGGCAATTTAAATGAAATTAACTTATTGAAAATGTATAACTTATCAAAACTGACATAAGAAGAAATAGAAAATCTAAATATCTCCCATAAAAGCTATTAAAGAAATTGAATTCATAATCAGTTTCCTAAAAGATAAAATGATATGCCCAGTTTTGTTTTGTTTTGTTTGCCCAGTTTTAATGATAAATTCTATAAGACATTAAAGTAAGAAAGAATACAAAACTAACCCGAATTCAGAAAACAGGGGGAACATTTCCTACCTTATATCATGAAGCCATTATTGCTCTCATATCAATAACCAACAAAGAGATGTTGTTAAGAAAAGGAAATTACGTATTGGTATTCCTTATGACATATATGCAAAAATCCTTAACAAAATAGCAAATAGAATCCAGCTATATATAAAAAAGCATAATACATCCAGGTAGAGTTATTGCAGAAATGCAAACTTATTTTAACATTCAAAAATCAATGTTATTCACAATATTAGCAGAATAAAGGAGAAGAATATATAATCATCTCAATAAATGGCAAAAAGAAAAGTATTTGAGAGAATTCAACATCCCATTCATGATAAAAGCTCCCAACAAACTAGGAAGAAAAAGGAAATTCTTCACTGTGATAAAGGGCATCTAGACCTACTGTTAACATCATACTTCATAGTGAAACATCAAGACTTTTTCCCTTAAGACTGGGAACAAGGCAGGATAAACTCTCTCACCACGTCTATTAAACACTGTAAGTCTTATTAACCAGTTCACTAAGTCAAAAGACAAAAAAGGCATGATAATTATAAAGGAAAAAGTAAAATATTTTGTGGGGTGGGGGGAGACATCATGGTTATGCAGGTAGAAAATCCTATATACTTTATACACAAAAAAAGAGAAAGAAAAAAAGTAAGATGAATTCTGCCAGACCACAGGATATAACAACAATATATACATACTAATTGTGTTTCTCATATTCACAGTGAACAACTGGAAGGTGAAATGAAATGAAAACTAATTTCATTTATGACAGTTCCAAAATATCGTATACCTCTAAAAAATAATGGGCAAGACCTCTACTCTGAAAGTAGGAGACAAATTAAAGAGGACCAAAATAAATGGAAAGCTATGCCGCATTCGTGAACTGGTAGACTAAATATTGTTAAAATGTCAATTCTCCCCTAATTGACCTGCATAGTCAACTGTAATCCCATCAAAACCAAATTTATAAGTGGAATCTAAAATTTATAAGGAAATGCAAAGAAAAAAGGAGACTGAAAAACCTCCTAAAGAAGTTAGAGAACCTACCTTACCTGACTTTAAGATTTTTTATAAGGTTATAATAATAAGGACAGTAGTGTGGTACTGACTTAAGGATAGACATATAGATCAATAGAACACAATGGTCAACAGATACTTGACTAAGGTGCCAAGGTATTTAATGAGGAAAGGATAATTTGTTCCAATAAATGGTGCTGAGACAGCTGGATATCCACCTGGACAAAAGTGAACCTTGACCTTATTCTCTCATCACAAACAAAACTCAACTCAAATTAGACTATAGACCTAAATGAAAAAGTAAAATAATAAAACTTCTGGAAGAAAGCATAAGAGAAAATCTTTGCTTTTGCATAGGCAAAGATTTCTCAGGACATAAAATATACGACCATAAAGGGAAAAAAATCATAAAGGACTTTATCAAAATTAAGAATGTTCTGCTCTCTGAAAGATCTCACGAGAAAATGAAAGCACAACCCACAAACTACGAGGAATTATTTCCAATATCTGACATAGTCCTTATATCCAGAAAATTTATATATATATGCTTACAATTATATATACTTACAATTCAATAAAAAGACAAAACCACCCAATTTTTAAAATGGATATAGATTTGAAAAAGAATAAAAGACCACTTATACCAATGGACATTAAGTACAAGAAAAAAATTTCAACATTATTATTCATGAGGAGAATGAGAATTAAAACTGTAAGATCCCATTTTGCATCTACCAGAATGGTTAAAATCAGAAAGATTCACTACCAATTCTTGGCCAGGATGTGGGAGCAACTGGAACCCTCATACATTGGTCATGGGAGTAACTTCGCAGAACCACCTGGAATCTTCTTCTAAAGACTATATCTGTCCCATGATCCAGTAATTTTACTCCCTAGATATTTACCCAAAGAGAAATGAAAAGTCTAAGTCTACACAAAGACTTGTCTACAAGTGTTCATAGCAGTTTTATTCATGATAGACAAAAACTGGAAACAATCCAAATCTTTATCAACAGAAGAATGGATAAAAAAACTTACGGTTTATTAGAATAGAATACTACTCAGTAATTTTGTTACGTCTTAGCTTAGAAGCCTTGTATTGTGTATTTCCATTCCAGTGGTCATGTGAACTAGAGACTCTTTAAGACAGGGATCCTTCTGGTACCTTTCATACCTGATAGCATCTCATTAATAAGGGTCTACCAAATATTTGTTGCTATAAAACTGACCTCAAGAGAAAATAAGGAGTTATATTATAATTACAAATATTATTGTTATCAAGGGAATATCTAATTTTATTTGCAGCAAGTGTAAGGATTCAATATCTACTAAGAGCTCTTAAGATGTTAACTACATACTGAATCAACTCCAGAGACTGAAATCTGGAATCAGAATGCCTGGGAATGGGATTCTGCATCTACAACATAGCAAATGGAAAGGCACAGCAGTCTCTGAATCTCAGGTTCCTAATCTGTAAAATGAGCATAATGCATGGGCCATCCCCATAGGGTTACTACTGTGAGGATTATGTAATTGTAAAGGTCTCAGAAATACTTGTTGCACATGATAAGCAGTATATAAACATTAGCTATTATTACTACTTACAGTCTGGATTTCTATGCACAGATACAACACTGAAGATATTGGTCATTAGAGAATATTAAGGATACATTTTTTAAAAACTTTCTATCAAAAAAATATAGGCACTATAAGGAAACACACATTGTTTATTTCACTTTGCCAATTTTAAAATATGGATATTCATACTAACTCAAACTTCAGGCATAGGATAAAGGAATTGATACTGATATTTTAAACCATGTTCTTAAAATGTATTATTTTAAGGGGAAACGTGTTCTTTATAAGACGTCTGAAAACCCATTTCTTCAACACAAATTTATTGAATGCCTATTCTAATGTGTTTATCTTAAAGCAAAATGTTGCACTAATTAGTTAAAATTACCTATAGGTATGAGTATAAAATAATGAAGATTCAGAAGACACTAGCTAAAGCAATTAAACCAACTCTTTTTTGAAGGAGAACTGGTGGGGTTGGATGGGGGCAAAACCAGAGTTAAGAGAGTTAACTGCTCACCTCAAACTCTTTGGGAAGGTAACCCCATTTTTTCCCCCAGCAGAAACACTGTGGTCCTGAGACACTCAAATGGGAAAGGAGTCTAATCCCTCAAGTGTCCTTCAGGAAAAAAAAATGCTCTAAACCACGGGCCTAAATTACAAACTAGATGACATCCCAAAGGACTCATCCTATACTCCCCACTTTTAGTTAATTATTTGGCTTTGAAGAACTACTACACAACTTTGCAGGCTGAGAGGAAGAAAGGAAAACCAAAATACCATGGTCCTGGGCGCCTGGGTGGCTCAGTGGATTAAGAGCCTACCTTTGGCTCAGGTCATGATCCCAGGGTTCTGGGATCGAGCCCCGCATCGGGCTCCCTGCTCGGTGAGGAGTCTGCTTCTCCCTTTCCCTCTGCCCCTCCCCCTGCTCATGCTCTCTCTCTCTCAAATAAATAAATAAAATCTTTTAAAAAAATACCATGATCCTGATCTGGCGCCTCCAGGTTGTAGCCATATCCCAGCAACGTGCGCACGGCCTCACGGAGGCTGTCCTTATTGGATTTCTTGGTGCGGTCATCTAGAAGGGCGTAGGGAACCAGGCGAGGGTTTCTTCTGTTCTTTACATCCTACAGGAAGAGAAAAGATGTTGGTCATCAAAGCAGTACTAAAGCAATTGTTTTGGAAATATGACAGCCACCTAATACAATAGAATGTGAAGCCCCTGAGGTAAAAGCTGCCCCTCCGCTACCACCCTAGTCTTCTCAGGGAACGGAAGTTACTGGACCCCTAGCAATATAAAAGATGGAATCAAATGAGTAAGTGTAGGCCCTCCCCAGGAGAAGAAAAGTAAAAAACAATAATAACAAAAGCGAACTGGAAGGATCTCTCCATCATCTTCCATCTGCTGGGGTCACAGGGCAGTAGGTGAATTTAGAGAACACAGAATTTCCTTGCACAATTGACAGACAAGTCTTTGTTACAAAAACAGCCAAATGATCACTGGTCACCTCTCAGTGATTTTAGTCTACAAACAACACATGGCTGCTGTCTCTTTCTCGGAAAAACCCAGGGTGTTAAAGACAGCCATTCTATGAACTCAAATAGCCTGAACAATATGCATTAGGGTGACTCCATCAACCTGTGAAGCTAGTTAACAGCCAAAGTACTGAAATACCTACAAAACTTATGATTTGTCTATGACAAAAGAGGCTCCACGTTTAAAATGTGATGAAACTGGTGTTGGCAAAGCAAGAAAGCTGGATATCCTACTATCCTGGCAAAAAAAAAATCACTTCTTTCCATCCACTCCCTGAGACTCTCCTGCAGATTTTGTCGGACTTTCTAGATTTCTGGAAGCATTCTCAATTCTCAGGTTAACCTGAGCATGACTAAGAATGAGGAGGCTGTGGATCCTCCCAAACCTTCTCAAAACAAATACGCTACATGGTGGATGGGGTTTGTCTTGGTTGGGTAGGAGCAAAGAAAGCTTTTCCTACTATCTTCTCCCCTGGTTTCTAGCAAATTTGTACTAAATATCTGCTCCTGAATACCATGAACATGAACTGACACAGTGAGGGGTCAAGATCACCTAGCTTGTTTGGCGGGGAGCACCACTCCAAAGCCACCCCAAATAAATCAACAGTGTAAACATCACCCCACACTCCTTTCAACTTGGTTTTAGCCCCCAAACTTTTCCTCTGTAGAAAGTCTGAAGCCTTGAATGAATCATCCTCTCTACAGATGGTGTCCTGGGACTCTGTTAAAAGGAGCTCCCCAGTGGATTCAATGCACAGTCATGGTTTGAAAGCAGCTGTGCTAGAGAGACAGGGAAGAGGGTAATTCAAGGAAACTGCTCTCAAGGACTTTCAGTGAAGTTCTAAACTAGATTATGTTAAGGTGATGGAAGGTGATGGAAAATTCAAGACAACATTCATTCAAATAATCCGGCAAACATGGGCTATGTCAGTGGGGAATGTGATGGAGGGATGGGGTGCGACCTGGGGGAAGGAATGGGGAAATGATTCTGGCAGGTTCAAAGAGAGCCTTGTGTTTTTCTGAGGAACCACATGCACAGGAAGGAGCACCCCACCCCCAGAAGAGAAGGACCTCAGGGAAATCCTGGTTTGTCTGACAGAGCTACGTGGTCTTCAAGGCAAGTAAGCCCTCCTTTTGCAGACAGCCAGTGTGGACCCCTGATCCATCTGGTGTATAAGGTTCAGGTTCTCTCTCTCTCTCTCTCTCTTTCTCACACACACACACACATACACACACACACACCATGCTGGAGCGGATGCAGTGTTGACATTCTCATCAGTTACAATCAGCTTATTCAATATAAAAATATATTTTATGAGGTACATCAAGGCTCTTCAATGTTTCTTTAGCCTTCCCAATAGCAAGAAGTCACTGGCTTAGAAGGATTTTAGAAATTCATCTTTTCAAACCAATATTTAGGCTGTTTCCTGGACCACAGTCTAAGCCTGTAAGTAAGAATCCATTTTAGTCCTGAAGAATTTTAAGTAAAGGAAGCCTAAACTGAGCTGGCAAGAGGCACTGCAACAAGGAAGTGAAGAATTTTGGCTCTGGAGTCAGAAGGCCTGATCCCAAGCAGGTCTGCCACCTGCTAACTGTGTAGCGCTGGGCAAACATGCTCCCAAGAAGGCTCCCCGTGCACCATATGTGAACTGGGAATAAAAATAATCCCTCCCTCACAGAACTGTTGTCAGAGTTAAAGAGAATATGTGTAAAACTCTAGACATGGGGACTGCCACCTAATTGAATAGCAAACTGCCGTACATATTTGGTCGGGCCCTGGCACTGCTATGAGCCTTTCTCATATGTAAGTTATGAAATGACATTAAATCACTTACTGATGAGGAAGACAGTGGTGCAGAGAATTTAAGTAGCCTGCCCAAGGTCACACAGTGACTCAGAGGCGAGGCTCAGATTTGCTCTTCGGCCCCTCTGCTATGCTGCCTCGGGATGTACTCAATGACTGTTAGTCGCTCCCGCTAGCACCACCATTAATAGAGATCCATGCCTCTAACATCCAGAAACCTCAGAAAACTCTATCCTTTACTAAGTTTAACAAAAACTCAGTTGGTGGTAAAACATGATCTGAATTGATGCAAGCCTGTTTATAGGCTTTATTTATCCTTCTTGGTATTATCACGCCTACACTGTGCTGAACAAATAGTAATTTACATTCTGCTGTCCCACTGAGGGTGCTAAGAAACATGTAATATATCACTGTATCGCCATTCCGGAAATCGAAAGATATCTGGATTCTGACATTCATCTGGCCCCGGGGTTTTCAAATGAGGAACTGTGGACCTCTTTTATTATTATTTTATCTCAACTGTCTCATATTTCAAAAGTTTCTCCTTAAATACAACCTCAGAGAGAGAAATGCCATGAAACCACATTATAAATGACTGTTCTAGTTAAAATTCACTGTGTACCTCATGTGAACACTCAGGGTTATGGTCATCTGACTTCTTGAGTCCAGCACTAAACAGGTATGTCAGTGCATATGTACATGAAGATATGTATCTGAGTTTCAAAAGTCATTATTTAATCTCTCCTGTTAGGAATCATGCTGATTACCACTTAAGCAAATCTCAGCTTCCATGCTATCAGGCTAAATTCCCATGTACCTGTTGGATGCCGTAAGTCCAGCCCTGCCGGATTCGATCCCGGGCCCACACATTATGAGCATTTTCTGCCAACTTGTCCACCATCGCTTCCTGAGATGGGGTGAGCTTGATGAAGCTCAGGTCCATTGGGGCAGGCTTATACCCACTTGTCAGCTGGTAACTACAAAGCAAAACAAAAGAAATATAAAATTGGCCTTTCTGAAAAAGGCAAGGCTTAAAAATCCCTGTAACAGTCTTTTTATGGCCCCACCTACCTCTAATGGTTCATTTAACCACGTGGTTACCACTGGTGAGCAAGCCTGGAACCCTTCACTTAAGCTAATAACTCATTAGGTAGAAAGGCCACACAATCATGGTCTTCATTTTTATACCAATAAAAGTGAAATGAGACAACTTACCGATCTCTCAAAGTTGAGAAGGCTTTATTGAGTTCCTAACTGATGAGGCTTTTCTATAGTACAAACCAAAATACTGGTTACCAATGAAAACATCTGATGGATTTCTCTTCTTATTCTCGTTTTCTTCAACTTTTAAATGTTATATTAATTCGTATATTTACATATTTAATAAATCTGTGGATCTTTACAGATACTAGCTGTTTATTATTCTATATGTGCTGCCGAAGCGAGCACTAGCTGTTTATTATTCTATAGGTAAATTTTAATGCATTTATAAATTATTTTCCTATTCACTTTTCCTAGTTATAGAATATAGGAAGTCTCTGGATAAGACAGAGTAGAAAATCCCAGATATTTAATCATCTAAAAAATTATTAAGGCCTGGATTTTAAGGAACTCTTCCCAGAGACTACTTCCATACTCTGAAATGGAGAGAAAGTACTAAAACAAGTATAGGTTTTCATCTTTTGGAAGAAATATAAAATTGAAAATATAAAATTTTCAGTATGTACGTATTGGGGCATGGTATATACATGGTACCATACATGGTACATAATACTGTCCTGCTCTCCAAAGACACACACAGAGTCACCTCATTCTATTTAACTACTGAGATTCCAACAAAACCTATTTTATAGCTGCTTCTCTTCCATTCTTCTGTCATTGTTATATTCCCTATTATCAACTAAGCCTTGAGGTGAGGATTTGTTTCTAATCCATTTTTCTAACTGCCATTATACTTGAAATAGTGCATGGCAGATAATCAGCCTTTTGATCTATAGTTTTTGAAAGAATTAGTAGGGAGAAGAAAGATGGAAGAGTAGGGAACCTTGTTTCATCGGGTGCCTTGTATTTAGCTAGGTAACTATCACATCATTCTGAAAACTTATGAATTCAACCTGAGATGTAAGAAAAGAATTGCTGGAACTCTACAAATAGAAAAGTGACCACTTTTGGCAAGGTAGGAGGTGCAAAGTGAATTGGAGGGGATATATTGGAAGATAAACAGCACAGGGAGGGAGCCTCTGTAAGCCAGCTACTGGAGAGTGATATAGCCCCAGAGCACAAAATCCGTATTTTAAAAATCTGCTCCAGTGAGAGACATCCCTGCCTTAAAGGTGCTCAGATGGCAAAGCAGGGCAAAATCCTAGGTGGGACTGTGTGGTCTCAGGATCCCCAGGGTCACAGAAAGAATGGGGGTGCCTGAGCGGGCAGAGTTCCCAAGCACTGGAGCAGGGAAACTGGCTATGGTCAGCGAGCCCAGGAGTGGGCTCTCAGCTCAGTTTGCCATAAACCGTGAATGGCAGTACAATCGGGGACCACTCTCTGTGTGAGGGTCCTGCAAGTGGCAGGCCTGTGAGAACCCTCTTCTCTCCCCCAAGAAGATAAGCACGGTGTGCTTTGAAGGAGTCTGCAGAGTTCGGTGCACACAAAAGTGAAGACTGCTTTTCCCTAAAGGTTTACTTAAGTTAGGGGGCCGAGATCTTTCAGCTTGGGCTGGAGATTGGGATGCGGCCATTTTTATTTTCATCTTCTAATGGGGCGCTTTTATTCAGGGAATAAAAGCCACACAGAGCAACCCAAAGCAGCTTACACTGAGACCAGCCCCCCAGCAAGGGGCAGTGCAACTCCACCCAGGCAAAGACACCGGAGAATCAGCACAACAGGTACCTCCCCCAGAAAACCAGCTGTAACATCAGTGGAATACCAAGTTTACCAAGCACACAGAATTGCAAAACTCCAGTGCTAGGGGAAAATAGTATATAGTATTTGAGGTTTTTTTCCCACAATTCTTTTATCCTTTCAGTTTATAATTTCCCTTTTTTTTTTCCTTTTCAACTCATTTCTTATTTTAGCAACTCTTTGTTTTTTTCTCTTTTAACTTCCATTTTTACATTTACATTTTACAGCTATATTCTTCATTTTTGGCTTCCTTTCAATGTATTCAATTTTATTTTGTGTGTGTGTGTGTGTGTGTGTGTGTGTATATAAAGTTTTGCTTTCTTTGCAATTTTGGGATTTAGGGTCTTCTAACAGAGCAAAATACACCCAGGACCAGGTAGATCACCCTGTTTTGTCCATCTGGGAGATTATAATCTTTTTCCTTTTTTTTTTTTTTTTCTTTTCATTTTTGGTTTCAGACCGCTTCAGCTTTGTGTAGTGGGTATTTCGCTTGGGTCATGGTTGATATTTTTTATTTTGTTCCCTCGTTCATCCATTCTTCTCTGGGCAAAATGACTAGAAAGAAGAATTCACAACAAAAGAAAGAACCAGAAGTAATACTCTCTGCCACAGATCTAATCAATATGGATATAAGTAAAAAAGCTGCAATTCAGGATAACGATTATTAAGTTACTAGCTGGGCTTGAGAAAAGCATAAAAGACACTCGAGAATCTCTTAGTGCAGAAATAAAATCTAATCAGGTTGAAATTTAAAAATGCTTTAACTGAGATGCATTCTAAATTGGATGCTCTAACAGCTAGCGTAAATGAGGCAGAAGAGAGAGTCAGTGACACAGAAGACAGGATGATGTAAAGGAAGGAATCTGAGGAAAAGAGAGAAAAAAACTAATGGACCATGAAGAGAGGCTCTGAGAAATCAGCGATATCATAAAGTGAAACAATATTAGAATTATTGGGGTCCCAGAGAAAGAAGAAAGAGAGAGAGGGACAGAAGGTATATTTGAGCAAATCACAGCTGAGAACTTCCCTAATCTGGGGAAGGAAAGAGACATTCAAGTCCAAGAGGTAGAGAGAGTGCCCCCACAAAATCAATAAAAATAGATTAAAACCCCAACATATAATAGTGAATAATGCAAATTTCAGAGATAAAGAGAAAATCCTGAAAGCAGCTTGAGGCAAGAGCTCCTTAACCTACAATGGTAGAAACATTAGACTGGCATCAGACCTAGCCACAGAGACCTGGCTGGTCAGAAAGGGCTGGTGGCATGATATATTCATGATACTAAATGAGAAAAACATGCAGCCAAGAATGCTTTTTCCAGCTAAGGTGTCATTCAGAATGGAAAGAAAGATAGAGAGCTTCCAGGACAAACAGAAACTAAAAGAAATTGTGATTACTAAACCAGCCCTGCGAGAAATATTAAAGGGGATCCTGTAAGTGAAGAGAGAGCCCAAAAGTAACATAGATCAGAAAGAAACAGAGACAATCTACAGAAACAGGGACTTTACAGGTAATACAATGGCACTATATTCATATCCTTCAATAGTTACTCTGAATGTAAACGGGCTAAATGCTCCAATCAAAAGACACAGGGTATCAGACTAGATAAAAAGCAAGACCAATCCATATGCTGCCTACAAGAGATGGATTTTAGACCCAAAGGCACCTCCAGATTGAAAGTGAGGGGGAGTAGAACAATTTATCATGCCAATGGACGTCAAAAGAAAGCTGGGATAGCAATCCACATATCAGACAAATTAGATTTTATTTTTTTTTATTTTTTTATTTTTTTTTAAAGATTTTATTTATTTATTTGAGAGAGAATGAGAGATAGAGAGCACGAGAGGGAAGAGGGTCAGAGGGTGCTGAGCAGGGAGCCCGATGTGGGACTCGATCCCGGGACTCCAGGATCATGACCTGAGCTGAAGGCAGTCGCTTAACCAACTGAGCCACCCAGGCGCCCGACAAATTAGATTTTAAACCAAAGACCGTGGTAAGGGATGAAGAGGGACACTATATCATAATTAAAGGGTTTATCCAACAGAAGATCTAACAATTATAAGTATTTATGCTCCTAATTTGGGAGCAGCCAATCGTATAAACCAATTAATAACCAAATTAAGGAAACACATTGATAATAATACAATAATAGTAGGGGATTTCACCCCACTCACAGCAATGGGCCGCTCATCTAAGCATAATATCAACAAGGAAATAAGGGCTTTGAATGACACACTGGACCAGATGGACTTCACAGATATTTACAGAGCATTCCATCCTAATGCAACAGAATACACATTCTTCTCAAGTGCACATGGAACACTCTCCAGAATAGATCACATACTGGGTCATAAATCAGGCCTCAGCCAGTACCAGAAGACTGGGATTATTCCGTTCATATTTTCTTTTTTTTTTTTTTAAGATTTTATTTATTTATTCGAGAGAGAGAGAGAGAATGAGAGATAGAGAGCATGAGAGGGAAGAGGGTCAGAGGGAGAAACAGACTCCCTGCTGAGCAGGGAGCCCGACATGGGACTCGATCCTGGGACTCCAGGATCATGACCTGAGCCGAAGGCAGTCGCTTAACCAACTGAGCCACCCAGGCGCCCCCCGTTCATATTTTCAAACCACACAATGCACTGAAACTTGAACTCAGTCACAAGAGGAAATTTGAAAGGAACTCAAACACTTGGAGCTTAAAGAGCATCCTACTAAAGAATGAATGGGTCAACCAGGAAATGAAAGAATTAAAAAAAATTTCATAGAAACAAATGAAAATGAAAACACAACTGTTCAAAACCTTTGGGATGCAGCAAAGGTGGTACTTTTAAAAGGGAAGTATATAGCATACAAGCCTTTCTCAAGAAACAAGAAAGGTCTCAAATACACAACCTAAACTTACACCTAAAGGAGCTGGAGAAAGAACAGCATATAAAGCCTAAACCCAGCAGAAGTGAATCCATAAAGATTAGAGCAGAAATCATTGAAACAGAAACCAAAAGAACAGTAGAACAGATCAACAAAACTAGGAGCCGGTTCTCCAAAAGAATTAAAGATCGATAAACTCCAAGCCGGACT